TGCTCAACCTCAAAACAACACAAAATAAAAAACTTTTACCTGGCCAACAGATTTTCACCTGTTTTGGAAGTACTAAGGACTGAATTTAGGGCATTGTGCTTGCTAAGCAGGTGCCGGAACACTTGAGCCACACCTAGGGTTCTTTTTCTCATTGGTTACTTCAAGGTATGGTCTTGCTGAGATGACACGCTCCACTACATGCAGCCACTGTGCTTCCCTCTGTATTGCTTGAGATGGAATTTCCTGAATTGTTTTTATGCCTGGTCTTGAAACTGTGATCCCCTGATATCTTCCCTAAGTAGATTTTCATCTTTCTTTAAACACATGTCTATTTCTATCTCCTAAAAGGAGGGATCTGGGGTTTCTTAGAACCCATTCATATGTTTTAAAAGACCAAGAACAGCAAGACACTAGTGGCTCGTGCCTATAATCCTAACTACTCAGGTTGAGATCCGAGGATCAAGGTTCAAAGTCAGCCTAGGCAGGAAAGTCCATGAGACTCTTCAATTAATAATCAAAAGGCTGGAAGGAGCTGTTGAGCAAAAAAGCTCAGGGCATTGATCAAGATGTGTTAGATTTATAATTGCTTTGTTAAATGCTAACTTCTCTGTACAAGTACTTTAAAAAAATAAGTAAATAAATAATAAAAAAGCTCAGAGACAATGTCTAGTCCCTGAGTTCAGCCCCAGGGCCAGAACTAACTAAATAACTGCCAAGAGCATAAGGATTAAACAGTCAGTAATGAGCACAATAGAGGTGGCTAATGACTTAGTGTGTCACTGATTTTCTTGATACAAAGTCACACTGAGCCCCATATTTATTTCTTTGTAACCTATAGCACCGCTTGCTCTCTCCATTGTCTTGGATAAAAGAAAAAAATCTTATTCAGTTATTTGTCTTCTCTTCGGGACATAAAGCTGCCTGAGATGAAGAAGAAAGGCACATAGGAACACAAAATAGTTAAAATTTAACACACAAGAAGTTACTGGTAAGCCAGGCGCCGGTGGCTCTCGCCTGTAATCCTAGCTACTCAGGAGGCTGAGATCTGAGAATCACGGTTCAAAGCCAGCCCAGGCAGGAAAGTCCGTGAGTCTCTTATCTCCAATAAACCACTAGAAAACCGGAAGTGGTGCTGTTGCTCAAGAGCGCTTACCTTGAGCTTTAGAGTTGAGGAACAGCACCCAGGCCCAGAGTTCAAGCCCCATGACCGACCAAAAAAAAAAGAAAGAAAGAAAGAAAAAAAAGAAGTTACTGTTAAAACAGACACTAGGGGCTGGGAAGGTGGCTCAGTGGTAGAGTACTTGCTTTCTATGCATGAGGTCCTGGGTTAGATTCCTCGGCACCACATAAGCAGAAAAAGCAAAAAGTGGTAGTGGTTAAGTGGAAGAGTGTTCACCTTGAGCTGAAGAGCTGAGGGACAGCACCCAGACCTAGAATTTTCAAGCCCCATGACCAACAAAAAAACAAAACACTAGGTTTTTCTCAAATATATTTATTTCCCACAATCGTCATGAGTGTGGTTATTTTTGTAATCTTATGTGTGTCTGTGTGTGTATGTATAAAAATTACACTAAACTGGGCACTGGTAGCTCACACCGTAATTGTAGCTACTCAGGAGGCTGAGATCTGAGGATCAAGGTTCAAAGTCAGCTCGGGCAGGAAAGTCCATGAAACTCCAATAAACCACCAGAAAACCAGAAGTGGGTTCTGTAGCTCAAGTGGTAGAGCACTAGTTTTAAGCTGAAGAGCTGAGGGACAGTGACCTGGCCCAGAGTTTGAGCCCCATGACCGACAAAAAAAACAAAACAAAACACATTACACTAATGCTAATATAATGCTTATTTTAAACTCAAACTGGTTATTAGACATTGCAGGGGTGGGAAAGAGATTCAGGAAAAGAACAAATAAGAAAAGGTGTCTTTAATTATAGAAAAACCAACTTTTGATTTCTGTAGGTTTTCTGCTGCTCCCAGACCACCACCGTTCCCTGTATTAGCTGTAGCTGTAGAAACACAGAAGCTACTGCCCTAGCTCAAAGCCTTGACCGGGGCTCCAGCTCTCTTTCCACACAGCAACGGCATAATGACACATGCAATGCAAAGTACATGACTGGGCGTGTAAACCACCTGTTTTATAGGTATTTAGAACTAGTCAAGTCAGCTGCACTTCAACAAGCAAACACACCACCACAGAGTGGCGCAGCAATACCTGACCTGAAGGACAGCACTGCTGGGAGACATGTTGAAGCCCCAGAGGGAGCAATGTAAAAATTAAGGTGAGCATTTAAAAAAAGGAATACATAGGCAGTTTTTTCATTTTTATTTTCTAAAAAGCATCTAAAATTTCTGAAAATCATCCCCTTTCTCTCAAGCTTAAAAAGCCCATCTTGCCAGGTGCATTGGTGGCTCACACCTGTAATTCCACTCAGGAGGTTGAGATCTGAGGATCCAGTTCAAAACCAGCCCAAGTAGGAAATAAGCCCATGAGACTACGAAAAAGCCAGAAATGACACCGTGGCTCAAAGTGGTAGTGGTAGCCTAGAGCACAAAAACTCAGGGGCAGTGCCCAGGTCCTGAGTTCTAGCCCCAGTTCAAGTGTACACCCCCCCACACACAAAAAAAATACACCTATTTTCTGCACCACTGAAAAAGGTCTATTTATTTATTTATTGGTCTACTCAAGGATAGCGCTATACTACTATGAGCCACAGTGCTACTTCTGGCTTTTTGGTGGTTAATTGGAGATAAAGAGTCACACAGACTTTCCTGTTAGGTCTGGCTTCAAACCATGACCCTCAGTCTTAGCCTTCTGAGTAGCTATGCTTACATGCATGAGTCACTGGCACCATACACACATACTTTCTTAACCTGCTAACTTTTACCTTGCAGACACTGAAAAGTATTTCCCCCACTCCTTTTGCTTCCAGATGTTGTAGCTGACTCAATTGTGTAATTAAATTTGAACAGGAGACAAGCAATTTACCAAGGCAACTTCAGGACCTCTATCTACCACCAACAAAACTTTGTTGCCTTTATCTGGTAAGCTTTCAACACATTTCTCCCACACCATAGAGGTACTAAAAGACCAAATTAGATATCTCAATGAAGGGTGAATTAGTATACACATGGCTTAGTTGTTTCTTGTAGGATCATCATACTTCTTACAGAAAAAATAATTTAAACCTACAACTTTTTAAAAGGAATGAAGTATTTGAAATGTAAAGTTTTATCTCAATAATGAGATGGGAAAAAAATTTAAACTTTTGAAACACATCAGCAACAGATTTTAGGTTTTTGTTTTTGTTTTTCTTTTTTTTGGTCATGAGGCTTGAACTCTGGGCCTGGGCGCTGTCCAGAGTGCTAGCCATGAGCTGAAAAGCTGAGGGACAGTGCCCAGGCCCAGAGTTCAGTCCCCACGACTAACAAAAAAAAACAAAGAAACAACTTGTATCCTAAACAGTGTGACTATTATATTACATTATCTTCTGAGATTCAAACTGACTTGAAAAGACTTCCTAAAACACTGGATAGGTGTTAGAATACTGAGAAAGTGGTATTCTAGTGGTGGATCAAAGCACTAATCATTTGAATAAATTCCTAAGTCTCACTTCTTTGCATAAGAAAGTGAGTGACATGGTCTCTGACATCCATTACTTTATGCAACCTTTTTGCTATTTTGTTTTTCCAGGTAGTACTGGAGTACTGCATTAGGACAGTATTATTACCACTTTGGCCATGCTCAGTCCTTTTTGCTTTAGTTTTTCAGATAACATCTTGTTTTTGCCTAGGGTCAGTCTTGGACCTTGATCCTGGTCCTCCTGTGCACCACTACTTTTGACCCAGTGGAAAATGATATAATCATACCTTATGCTCAGAAACAAAATAATCCCTACATACCACACTGCATTAAGAATAGACATCTTGGGCTGGGAAGGTGGCTCAGTGGTAGAGTGCTTGCCTAGCATGCCTGAGGCCCTGGGTTCAATTCCTCAGCACCACATAAGCAAAAAGAAAAAAGCCGGAAGTGGCGCTGTGGCTCAAGTGGTAGAGCGCTAGCCTTGAGCTGAAGAGCTGAGGGACAGCACCCAGAGTTCAGGCCCCAGGACTGGACGACCCCCCCCCAAAAAAAGAATAGACATCTTGGGGCTGGGAAGGTTGCTCAGTAGTAGAGTGCTTGCCTTCCATGCATGAGGCCCTGGGTTTGATTCCTCAGCACCACATAAGTAGAAAAGGCTGGAAGTGGCACTATGGCTTAAGTGGCAGGGCATTAGCCTTGAGCTGAATTGTTGAGGGACAGCGCCCAGGTCCAGAGTTTAGGCTCCCTGACCGACAAAAAAAAAAGACATCTTGGCTCATACCTATAATCCTAGCTCCTCAGGAGGCTGAGATCTGAGGATCACAGTTCAAAGCCAGCCCGGGCAGGAAACTATGTAAGACTCTTATCGCCAATAAATCACTATAAAACCAGAAGTAGCACTGTGGCTCAAGCAGTAGAGCACTCGCCTTGAGCTGAAGAGCACAGGGACAGCACCCAAGCCCAGAGTTCAGGCCCCATGACCAACAACAACAAAAAAAGAATTGACATCTTATAACCTGAAAATATCACATAACAGAGTACATGTCCTTGAAAACAATCACAAACTGGGCACCAGTGATGCACACCTCTAATCAATCCTAGCTACTTAGGAGGCTAAAATCTGAGGATCAAAGCTGAAAGTCAACCAGGCAGGAAAATCTGTAAGACTCTTATCTCCAATTAACCACAAAAAGCCAGAAGCAGAGCTGAAGATCAAGTGGTAGAGTGCTAGCCTTGGGCAAAAGAGCTCTGGGTTAGTGCTCGGGCTCCAAGTTTAAGTCTCAGCACTGGCGCGCGCGTGTGCGCGCGCGCGTGCGCACGCGCACGCACGCACACACACACACACACACACACAACTTATTTGTTTCATCTAAAAATATATTGTTAAAAAATAAAATGACTGAGCAGATGCTTCAGAAGCCAGCTTCTGGATGTTTAATGATCACTTTATTAATGCAGGTGATTAATACTTACAGACTGTCTAGTCTGCAAAAATCAGTCAATATTTAGCAGAGAATAACAGTTGTATCAAAGAATACTTCTAAATAACTTCCAAGAAATTATAACCCTAAGAAAATATCTCCCATGTGAGTTCCATAATATAATTTAAGCACATGAGGAAATGCTTTTGCTTGTCTTGTGCTACTTCCCTCTTTTTTCCCTTCTGACTGCAGAATCCCTCAAGATGTGCATGGGATGAAGGTGTATCCGTGGTAGAGCACTGCTGAGAATGTGTGGGACCTTCGGTTTGATCTCTAGCACAACCAGAAAACAAAACAGTTCCAACAAATAAATGAAATAGAATGTAAAATGAGACTATCTTTGGAAAAGAGATATATTTTTTTCTAATAGAAACAGAAAAAATGGTTCCATTTTAATTTGCTTTCTTCTACAATTGATGTTAGATTAGCATACCTTCCAACAGTATGGTATGTTACGATATGAAACCAGAGGTATGTAAATGAGTTCTTCACATTTTGGCCAATTTTCAGTGCCAGAAAAACATGATGTTTAGTCCCTTGATTAAATAGTGAAGAAACAAAACAAAACAGTTATCAAGGCTTGAGCTGAGATGACCCAGCAAAAGCTTGCCATTACCTCAGCCATCAGTTTCCCTTCTCAAAAAGGGGGAAAAATGCCTGTTATGTGAACTTCCCACAGCACAGGCTCAGGTGAAGTAGGGAGGTGGTAGGCCATCTGGAAAGGCTGGAGCAGTCCAAATAGCACAGATAACTTCAGGAACAGCTGGCTCCAAATCAGGCAGGATAGTCAATCTTCTGTGGCAAGGAAAGAAATGAAGTCCCAGCTTCTAAAACACATAGCGACAAGTCCAAGAACGGGGCCGGATGTAATCCAGAAACGTAGGCTATAACGAGGAAAAAGAAAAAAAAGAATGAGAGAACAGTTCATTTGTGTCCACTGTGCACATGAGCTAGGGAGAGGCAGAGTGTTAATGTTCCATATTGAACATGTCCAAGCTGCTTCTCAACATCTCGGTGACATTTTAAGAAGCTCACTAATTCAAAGGATTTTTAATATTTCATTTTACAGTACCAACTTACTTATATGCTTCACAGGAAGTTTCTGTAGTTTAGTGAACTCTACAATGGACTGGCCAATTGCCTCTTTGGCATCTTGCTTTTTTTTTTTTTGAGACAAGGTCTCATTATGTAGCCCAGGGTGGCCTCACACTCAGTCTTCCACCCATGTACTGACATTCATTACACACCTGGCTATGCATCTTCTTTTACATCTTAATAAAGAACTGTATTGTTTTTAGCCTAAATTCTAAGCACTGGTACATTAAGAATGATAAAATATACACAAATATATACAAATGACTATCATCCAAGGTGACGTATTACTGAATTGTTTGAAGAAAGAGATGAAGTATTATGGGAATCGTAATCTGAAAGTTTCAGGGAGGATCCCAACTGGTTTTGGTGGAAGAATAAAGTCTAACGTGTGAGGCCTGAGTATAAAGACATGTATGCCTATGCATAGTTTCTAAAGTGAGGGGCAGTCAGTTCAAATGCACAAAGAGAACTCACTTCCAGGAGGAGGGAGAACTAAAGAAGATGTATTGAAAGAAAGCATGCGGAGAGGATCTGACTGATTCAGTTATAGACCTCTTCAGTTACAGGCACTTGGATAAAATGCCCAGGTTGATTTGGCATAATGACACCTTACCCTTCATTCTTCCCTCTCCCCCTAAAATTTTGAAGTTGTCCTAAAACACAAAGCATTAGGGATGTACCTGAACATAATCATTTTTAAAAAGGGGGAAAGCAAAAATAAGGAACACAGGAAACGGACTCCTAGGCTTATTGGTATTAACTGCCATTTTTATAATTGTTTATTTTAAGAAGAATACACACTTGTATAATATGGGCATATATTCTATTGGAAAAACTGAAGAATTCCCATAAGAGGATAGAGAAACAACAGACAAGTTAAAAAAAAAAAGAAAGAAAACTAAGAACTAGAAAAGTTTAATGAGAAGAAAATTAAAGAAGTAAGAAATTGCAAGGATGAGATTAGATGATGATCTAATGCTTTTACACCAAACTTCCCTCTTTTCAAAAATGCATACTTTCCACTTCTACCCCTTTCCCAATCACTAGACATAGCTACTCGAACTCCAGTTCAACTGGTGACTCACATTTTTCAGAGGACAGTGCTGACGTGCATACCATTCTTGGGAATAAAAGCATAGAACGACTCCATGGCCCAAGAAAAGAGAGGTCCACATCATAATGTTCCAAATCGGCCTTTTCCGACCATCATTGACGATGAAGTTGAAAGCCACTGAAGTTAAGGGAGAAAAGTATATAGTCATCAAAGAATAAACCATCAGGAGGTGATAGGCCATACATACCTGTTCAATCAAGCGAGCATTATATACCTGCTTTATTCTGTTTATTTTTGTTTTTTTGGGTCTGGTCGTGGGGCCTGAACTCTGGGCCTGGGCACTATCCCTCAGCTCTTCAGCTCAAGGCTAGCACTCTACCACTTGAGCCACAGCGCCACTTCCGGCTTTTTTCTTTTTGCTTATGTGGTACTGAGGAATCGAACCCAGGGCCTCATGCATGCAAGGCAAGCGCTCTACCACTGAGCCACCTTCCCAGCCCGACCTGCTTTATTCTGATCAAAAGTCCTATAATTATTCAGATCAAGTGAAAATATAGTTGATGGAATTACTCATATCCTAATTTGTCCCTCTCCACCCACTCCAAAAATGTTTTCTGTGCATGTTTAAGGGTATTTGTGAATGGACGAGTTGTACACAGGTTCATCATCTACAACTCTTCATGCATTTCTCCATGTCAAAGTGTAAACACCTTGAGACGAGCTGTATATAATTATTTAAAGTCAGTATTTTGACCATTTTGAAATGGTATTACTACTATCTACTATTTCTACATTGATTTTCTTTCTGTCTAGTTTTCTCTTTGTTTTGTCAGTTGTGTGGCTTAACCTCAGGGCCTAGGTGCTGTACCTGAGCCTCTCTGTGCTCAAGGCTAGCACTCTACCAGTGAAGCCACAGCGCTACTTCTGTTTTTTGAGTGGTTAATTAGAAGTGAGGCTCACTGGGATTTTTCTGTAGGGCCTGGCTTCCAACCATGATCCTCAGATCTCAGCTTCCTGAGTAGCTAGGATTACAGATATGAGCCACTGGCACCCAACTTTTCTTTTAACTAATACTAAGTACCCACAGTGTGCCATATACTTACTTCCAAAGGACATGAAGAGCACAAAGAGCACGGGATAGAAATAGCTCAAGCAAACAGCCAGGGCATACTCATGCACTACAGCTGACATAGCGAAGACCGCTAACATGGCCGCAGATTTGAATCTCTTTGTGAAAAACTACGATGAAAAGAAAATATTAAGTAATTTAAAATTTGTAGGGGGATTGGGAGGAAGAAACGAGGAGAAAATGAGGGAGTGGGTGACACTGTTCAAAAAGAAATGTACTCATTACCTGACTTACGTAACTGTAACCACTCTGTACATCACCTTTACAATAAAGTTTTTTTTAAAAAAAAAAGTACTAAGCATGTCCTCTTGTAAGACATAATTACCGCATGCTAAAGGCACCTATTTAATTATAATTATATTTTTACTTGACTTTCCTAGTTCTTGGATTAATCTAAATCAAAATAATTACAAAAAGAAAAAAAAAACAGCCAAAAATCGTGCTTGATATATGCATGGCTCAGTGGCAGAGTGTCTGCCTACTAAGTGTGAAGTCCTAAGCTCCAACCTTAGTACCATACACACACAATTACAAAAATTAATCCTAGGCACATAAACACCTTTTTATTCAAATAAGGCAATTTCCAAGAAGGATTCAAAAGTCTGGGCATAGTTGTAAAAATATCAATTATATTTATTTACTTTGGGACAGGATCTTGGTGTATTGCCCTCGTTGGCATATTCGTGATCTTCTTACCTCTGTCTCCTAAGTAGCTAGAATTACAGGCATCTGCTACTTCCATTAATTTTAAAATTAATAGAATTTATATTTGTGAGCTACTCTGATGAAAATAGTTTTAATGTATTCAAAAAACACTACTTGAAGTGGAGTTTTGCTTCAAAGTGGCAGAATCAGCCTGGAGTGAAAAAGCTAATGAACAGCAACCAGGCTCCGAGTTCAAGTCCCAGTACCAACACAAAAAGAAAAACCAAAAAATGATAGTGTACACACTTCAGACAAAAAATACAATGCAATTTCCATTGTTAGTTAGTGATAGTGTTCAATAAATAGAGCTTCCTCTGGGCTGGGAAGTTGGCTCAGTGGTAGAGCGCTTGCCTTGCATGCCTGAGGCCCTGGGTTCGATTCCTCAGCACCACATAAGCAAAAAGAAAAAAAAAAAGCCGGAAGTGGCGCTGTGGCTCAAGTGGTAGAGCGCTAGCCTTGAGCTGAAGAGCTGAGGGACAGCATCCAGCCCAGAGTTCAGGCCCCACGACCGGACCCAAAAAAAAAAAAAAAAAGAACATAATACATGGAGGGGAGGGCAGGGATGGTAAGGGGAAACAAAGGAGGAGGCAACAATGCTTGATAAGAAATGTACTCATTATCTTGCCCATGTAATTGTAACCCTTCTGTATGGTACTTTCACAATAAAAAATTTATTAATATTAAAAAAACAGAACACAAGAAAAAAAAGAACATAATACATGATATAAAACCAAGACTATAATAAATTGTTAACGCATATATCCATGTCAGAAAAGCCTTACAAGACATTTCCGTTATTAATGTTCACTATATCATTATTCTAATAGTATATGTATGTATATGTTTATACATACACATACCCCTAGGTTCATTGTCTCACTATCAAACTAATTATGATGGAAAATACAGAAACATATAGAATCACTTAATACAAAGATCACTTGAATAGCAATCAGTAAATAATGAAAGAATTGTAGGTTTCAAGACTAGACTGAACACTAACACTAATACACTGCTTGGCAGTTTCACAATTGGCTAAATCGAATTGCATAGCAGTGAGATAGTGGCTTCCTCCATCCTTTTGTATTTCTTACTCCCAATTTTAAGATCAGACAGCTCAAAATTTGTATTCCATGCTGTTTCTTTAAAGAGAATGGCAGACTAAGGATTTTAGGCAGCATTATGGAATGTTCTGAACCACTCTGGCTTAGTCAAGAACTTAAGTACAACTTCAGAAGAATAGTTGTTGTGGTTTGGAGACAGGGTCTTACTATGTAGCTCAAGCTGGACTCAAACTTATGACCCACTAGCATCTGCCTCCTAAGTGCAGGCCCATTTTAGAAGTATAATAAGGGGGGCTGGGAAGGTGGCTCCGTGGTAGAGCGCTTGCCTTGCATGCATGAGGCCCTAGGTTCGATTCCTCAGCACCACATAAGCAAAAAGAAAAAAAAAAAGCCGGAAGTGGCGCTGTGGCTCAGGGGTAGAGCACTAGCCTTGAGCTGAAGAGCTGAGGGACAGCGCCTAGGTCCAGAGTTCAGGCCCCACGACCGAACCCCCCCCAAAAAAAAGAAGTATAATAATATAGCCAGATGCCAGTGGCTCATGCCTCTAATCCTAGCTATTCAGAATGAGATTTGAGGATCACAGCTCAAAGCAGCCCAAGCAGAAAAGTCCCTTAGACTCTTATCTCCAATATACTATTTATAAAAGGCAGAAAGTGGTGCTGTGGCTCAAGTGATAGAGTGCTAGCCTTAAGTACAAAGAAGCTTAGGGACAGCACTCAGGTTCTGAGTTTAAGCCTCAGGAACCCCCACCAAAAAAAAAAGTATAATAATACAACGATAAGCAAAATTAGTACCTTTCAAAATTAAGAAGGGAAAAGTTATTTCCCTCAGAAGTTGCTCAACAGTCTTAAAGGGAATAATATGCAGAGGACACTTTTACACAACTAGACAGCCAATTTCAAATAAACACTCAAGAAAGTCTCACCAAGACCTTGGAATGAATGTGTTCCCACCATATCACCCATAAATATATCCGGACAATATTCAGTAGAAACTATGTGCCACATTAAAGAGATAGGAGACAAGATTATGTTAATTATATCTGTCAGAATTTTAGACATGTTGGTAAAACTTGTGGAAAATTATTTCACAATATTTGTGTCAAAAAAAAAACCCTGGTAATAATAACCAACAATGCAAAAAAAACCCCATTAACAATGACTAAAGAAATAAAATATAAAAAGAAATATAAAACCAAATATATATCACCTTATAAAACATCCTGTCACCAAAGCGTAACATCTCAGCAAAGGCATTGAGCCAGCAGTGCAAAAAGGCAAAGAAAGTAAGGAATAGTATCAGCACACCTAAAAACAAGAGTAACAAAATGAAGAGTCTTTCCAAAGTGCTCATATACCAAACCATTAAGCATCAGTAAAAACCTAAACTGTTAACCCATTCCAAAGATACAGTATAAGTTTATTTTAATTTAAAAAAGCAGTAACTCCCAAATTGGTTTAATAGACAACAGATGACTCAGTCTGTTTTTAAGAAATGCCTTGATATTCAGGTTAATTTGGAACCCAAGGCTTTTTAAAATCTGGCCCCCATATCTTCCCTCTAAATCAATGGAGATTTTGCTCCCTCTCCCTCTATAAGACATTTGGCAAATCTCGAGATGTGTGGGGTGTATGTGTGTGATGTGTGTGATGTGGGTGGGGTGGGCTCTGTGTGTGTGTGTGTGTGTGTGTGTGTGTGTGTGTCCTGGTGCTTGAACTCAGGCCTGGATGCTGGCTGAGTTTCTTTGCTTAAGACTAGAGCTCTACCTCTTGAGTCACAGCTTCACTTTTATCTTTTTGGGTACTTAATTGGAAATAGAGTCTCACAAATTTTCTTTCCCAGGCTGGCTCTGAACTGTGATCCTTAGAGCTCAGTTTCCCGAGTAGCTACAATTACTGACATTAGCTACCAGTGCCCAGCTAGAGTCATTTTTGATTGTTACAATGGGAAAGAGATTTACATATATATGTATATAAATATATATATATATTTATTTTCCTTCAGAGCATAGGAAGAATCAGATTAGCAATGCCCATGTTACCTTACCTGGCAAGATGGAGTTAAACACACACAGGACCAGAACACGAGCGCTGAAGGGCTCCTGTTTGATGTTCCGGAACAAAGGGGCACAGAGCCTTTCAAAGATGTAGTACACATAAAATAGGCAACCAAAGACCTAGATATAACAAAGATGATAATGATGATCGTTTAATAAAGAAAAATGGACTGAGACACAAAAGAAAGTACATGTATAATCCTTAAATCACTTTTTACAAATATGTTCCTTTTCCTTCAGAAAATGACCTTTACAGTCCAACAGTGATATTCACTAGACAATATGTTGAAATGAACCAGATATCTTGTGGGTGGGGATGGAAAGGAAAAACTGGGAGAGCGCAAAGGAAGGGGCAACACTGTCCAAAAAGAAATGTACTCATTACCTGTCTCATGAAATGGTAACCCCTCTGCATATCTATACCTTTATAATAACAATAAAAATATTTGATTTTTTTAAAAAAAGGTCTTTTTAGGGGGGTGGGGCTTAAGGCCTCATTACATAGCCCTTGAACTTAAAATGCTCAACTGGTTTAGTGGTTTGATAGAACTACAGTTTGAATTTAAGGTTGCACACTTGCTAAGCAGGTGCTCTACTGCTAAACCATGTTTATAGATAGCCCTTTATGCTCTACTTATTTTTGTCCAGACTTGCAAGAACTTCAATCCCCCTATTTCACTTCCTACTGTGGCTAGAATAACAAGCGTGCCCCACTGCACGCAGCTATCAGTTGAGATGGGGTCTTATGAACTGTTTTCAGCATAAGCTAGCCTGGAACCGTGATCCTCCTAGTAGCTAGGATTATAGGATTGAACCACCCAGGCATGGATCTGCCTCAGTCTCTACAGTGCTGGGATCATGAGTAGTATCGTGTCCAGCAACCAAATGAAATTTTTAAAAGACCACCTAAAAAGCCTGTTTTTCCCTCTATTACGTGAAGCCTATAATAACTTACTTTATGAAATAGAATTTTACTGAAAAAGAATTTTTTTTGGGGGGTCTGGTTGTGAGGTCTGAACTCTGGGCCTGGGCACTGTCCCTCAGCTCTTCAACTCAAGGCTAGCGCTCTACCACTTGAGCCACAGAGCCACTTCCAGCTTTTTTCTTTTTGCTTATGTGGTGCTGAGGAATCGAACCCAGGGCCTCATGCATGCAAGGCAAGCGCTCTACCACTAAGCCAACTTCTCAGCCCCCTGAAAAAGAATTTAAAATGAAATATTCTAGGATTTGTAATTCTGATAAAGGGGATGGGGGAAGAGTCAGGAAGTGTCAGACCACAACTATACACATATGCCTCTCGTCAAAGAAAATAGGAGCAGAAATTAATGCTGAAGCTTAGGAAAAGAACCAAACAGGTGCAGGTACCTTACACCTATAGTGCTTGCTACTTAGGAGGCTGAGACCTGGAAAGTCAAAAGTTCAAGTTAGTCTGAACACAAAACTCTACAAGACTCTATCTGCATCTAACCAGCAAAATTCAGGATTGAATGTGTGGTTCAAGTGGATGAGTTCTATCCTTGAGTGGCAAAACCAAGCTAGAGTGTAATGTCCTGAGTTCAAGCCCCAGTACTGGCAGGCATGCGCATGTGTCTGCGCACACATACACAGAATCTCTTTCAATAAAATAACATTTTCCTTATTGAAGAATGTTATTTTGAGGTTAACAAACAAATACTAGCTACCTAGTAGACTGCGATCTGAGTATCACAGTTCAAAGCCAGACTGGGAAAAAGGTTCATGAGACTGTTATCCCCAATTAGCCACCCAAAAATCAGAAAAGTGGAGCTGTGGCTTCAGTGATAGAGTGCTAACCTTAAGCAAAAAGAAGCTCAGGATTCAAGCCCCAGGAATGGCACCAAAAAAATGAATAAATAGGGGCTGGGAAGGTGGCTCAGTAGTAGAGTGCTTGCCTTGCATGCATGAGGCTCTGGGTTTGATTCCTCAGCACCACATTAGCAGAAAAAAACAGGAAGTGGTGCTGTGGCTCAAGTGGTAGAGCCCTAGCCTTGAGCTGAAGAGCTAAGGGACACCACCCAGGCCCAGAGTTCAAGCCCCACGACCAACAACAACAACAAAAAAACAATAAATAAATCATCATACACTACACTGGGAAGTTTTGGTCTCAACGTATTTTTTAACTCCCACTGACATAAATTTATCAACATTTTAAATAGATTAAATAGGAATCCCATTTCCCATGAATAAGCACTCATTAAGAGGTAAAAATTTTTACCTGTGTGAATTGCATAACAACATAACGCCATCTTACAGTGGGAGTTCTAAAAAAAAAAAAAAAGAAACAAGTTTTCTAAAGTTAATTGAATTATAAAAATAAAAACCTGTATTTTTTTCCACACAAAACATCACTTATAGGCTGAGAGTGTAGCTCAGTGGTAGAACAGTCATGTCCTAAATTTGATTTCAAACACCAAGGTCTTAAAAAAACAAAACAATAGCCGGGCGCTGGTGGCTCACGCCTGTAATCCTAGCTACTCAGGAGGCTGAGATCTGAGGATCGCGGTTCAAAACTAGCCTGGCCGTGAGACTCCTACCTCCAATAAACCACCAGAAAACTGGAAGTGGCACTGTAGCTCAAGTGGTAGAGCACTTGCCTTGAGCTGAAGAGCTGAAGGACAGCGCCCAGGCCCAGAGTTCAAGCCCCACAACCGACCAAAAAAAAAACACAAAAAAACAAAACAATAATGATCATATAAAACACAGAATTCTGCCTGGCATGGGTGGCTACTCAAGAGGCTGAGATCTGACAATCACAGTTCAAAGCCAGCCCAGGCAGAAAACTCCATGAGATTCTTAACTCCATTAATCACGAAAATGCTGAAAACAGAGATGTCGCAAGTGGAGATGTAGCAAATGGTAGAGTGCTAGCCTTGAGCAAAAGGAGTGCAGGGACAGCACCCAGGCTCTGAGTTCAAGTCCTATGACCAGCTTCAAACCAAACCAAACCAAAACACCCACAAACTTCTGTCAAGAATTACTATCAAATTAAAACTATTTGAAAAATATATTCATTATCTGACATGAAATGGTAACTCCTCTGTACATCACCTTTATAATAACAATTAAAAATTAATTATAAAAATGATTTGAAGCTGGGTGCCCATGGCTCATGCCTGTAATCCTAGCTACTCACAAGGCTGAGGTCTGAGGATCAGGGTTCAAAGCCAGCCCAGGCAGGAAAGTCCATGAGACTCTTATCTCCAATAAACCACCAGAAAACTACAAGTGCCACTATGGCTCAAGTGGAGAGCGCTAGCCTTAGGCTGAAGAGCTGAGGGACAGTGCCCAGGCCCAGAGTTCAAGCCCCATAACCAACCAAAAAGAAAAAAAAAAAGATTTGAAACTTGAAGTTTCCCATGCCAGAGAGAAATTGAGAGTACATTTTATTTTTTCTGTAGCCTACACTAACCAGTCCTCACACACACACACTTGTACCAGGGCTCTGGCATTACACACAGTCCTATCTAGGTGCTGTTACCTGGGATAGCTGTCACGGTAGATGAGGGTGGGCGCAAACAAGAAATACAAGTACTGGTTGACTGTGGGTATTGGAACTGTACCTACAAAGAAAAACTACATTAGATAAGAGGCACTTTGATTTCTTGCTGCACACTACAAGGGTAAAATACAGAAGCACAGATCAGGAAAGAAGGCATGATCTTCTTGCTGTTTCTTCTTTATCTCATAAATGACTTCTTATTCTTGCATTAACTGATATTATCAATCTGAGTCATCTGTAACTGAAGGAACTTTTGAAGCTTGAACCACAATTTGCAAAGACTAAGCAAGCATAGTTATAATGAGTCTATTGACATTCCATGAATGCTAAGCTATAAAAGAGCCTAAAAATCATTTTTTTAACTTAAGGACAAAAAAGGGATAACCAGAAAACAGTAAAATAGTCTTCCAAATCAATATGGATCCCATATACTTAAATTCAGGCATAATCTATACAGAATATAATCCTTCATCTCAGTAAACACCAAAAGCCAAACTTCCCTATCACTAATCCTTCAGTGCAATGGGGACACATACTTGACTTTTCTTTGGCTGCATTTAGTACTCGTGGTACATTCTCTCTGACAAATGAGTGGGCCTTCATTACCATTCGAATCTACAAAAGGAAGGAAAACAAAAGATTTTCTGTCATTGACTTGTCTCCTATAAGCAACTCCAGAACAGCAACAGACTATGCTCAAACCACTTTTTACTTTTTCATATAACAACCAAGCTTACCTGAGGGAATAGAGAAAATTTTATAATAATAACTTCGAAAGAAGTACATGTAATTATTCAAATTATTTTGCATTTGACCACATGATTACAGGCATATTATAAATCAAGAAATTAGTGTTCATGGGGTCTGGGAAGTTGGCTCAGTGGTAGAGTGCTTGCCTCGCATGCACGAAGCCCTGGGTTCGATTCCTTGGCACCATATAGCAGAAAAAAGCCGGAAGTGGCGCTGTGGCTCAAGTGGTAGAGTGCTAGCCTTGAGCTGAAGAGCTGAGGGACAGCACCCAAGCCCAGAGTTCAGGCCCCACAACTGGCCAAAAAAAAAAAAAAAAAAAAGGCCTCCTGAAATCCTTCTATCAGTCAGAATTTCAAGCCATCAATATAAGTAAAAAAATTCTGAAGATGGAAATAGCTACATGATAATGATTAACCCTTCAAAAGTGGAATTCTTAATTACAAAAATATTTTATAATCAAATCACTTCCATGAAGTATCAGAAAAAAATTAATTTATCCAGAATAGTTTAACAGAATTTACTTCTATGTCTAACACCAGAGGAACAATGACACTACAAATAATTCTAAAAGATGAATGATCTAGAGTAACACCTTAATTTTGCAAATCATGGCCCAAAAAAGCCATATGAATAAATGAAAACTATTACAAAAATCTATCCAAGTTAATAAAGCTAAAAATAATGGTGTCAGTTAATCTATCACTATTGTTATTTTAACTAACAAACTGCTGGGTTGGGTTAACATTCCAAACCTTACCTGCTCAAGTATAACAATGAACCGGGAAGCTGGTGGCAATGAATATGTTAATGTGATATATGTTGGTCCAAAACCTAGAATTCCCAGCTGGAAGACTATGAAAAACAAGCCATGGATAAAAGTACTGATGAACCGATGAGAACTCTTGCTGTAGCCTTTGGCCCAATGTTGAAAGAGGAAATAGGGAATTGAAAGTGTGGAGAGGAACATGAGGCACCATGTCCAAATAACAGTAGAAAATTTGCCAAAAGCATAAGACATGAGGTTGAACTCAGGCACCAACCTGGGAAGAGATGGCACAAGAACAGAGAAGTGAGTGGAAGGAGCATGCACTGAATTCAAAACTTCCACATCCCTAGTTTTCAACCCTGGGAGGCTGTAACATTAATACACTGAGGTCATGGATATAATACTTGTTGTGCTAGATAATGACCTGACTTCTAAACTTTGGCTTTCCTCTGGAATCCTAGCTACCCAGGAAGCTGAGACCTGGAAGATTATGGTTCAAAGCCAACCATGTCTATGAAACTCCATGTCTAGTTAACCAACAAAAAGCAAGGCTGGAGGTATGACTCAAGTGTTAGAGTATCAGCCATGCTCAAGAAATCCTCAGAAGAGTACACTGAATTTAAGCACGCCCTGGTAAGGGTAGCTTAATGAAATGTCTTTCTCTTTAATTACATTTTTTAGGAGAGAGGAATATCATTCTCAAATCAGATGCTTAGGGATTTTTTTTTCTTTTTCCCCCCGTCGTGGGGCCTGAACTCTGGGTCTGGGCGCTGTCCCTCAGCTCTTCAGCTCAAGGCTGGTGCTCTACCACTTGAGCCACAGCGCCACTTCTGGCTTTTTTTTTCTTTTTGCTTATGTGGTGCTGAGGAATCGAACCCAGGGCCTCAGGCATGCAAGGCAAGCACTCTACCACTGAGCCACCTTCCCAGCCCCGCTTAAGGGATTTTTTTTTAAAAAGCCTATGTAAGCAGGAAGCTGGTGGCTCATACCTATAATCCTAGCTACTCAGACCTGAGGATCTGAGGCTGAGATCTGAGGATCACAGTTCAAAGCTAGACAGGGCAGGAAAGTCTGTGAGACTCTTATCTCCAAATTTACCATCCCCAAACCAGACGTGGAACTGTGGCTCAAAGTGGTAGAACATTAGCCTTGAACCAAAAAAGCTAAGGGACAAGCCCCGTGCTGGGCAGGAAAATCTATGAGGCTCTTATCTTCAATAAACCACTCAAAAAACTGGAAGTGGTGCTGTGGCTCAAGTAGTAGAGAGCTAGCGAAGAGCTGAGGGACAGCGCTCAGGCCAAGAGTTCAAGTCCCATGACCGACCAAAAAAAAAGCTAAGGGACAGTGCCCAGGCCCTGAGTTCAAGCCCCAGGACAGACCAAAACAAAGCAAATGTAACAAAACTATCTACCAAAATCCCCAATTTTCTATGCTATCATCTACCCAACCACCCATTTTGTTGTCTTACCTTCCTTCATCAATGTAATCTACTACAGAAGTACTGAGGATAAAGATGAGGAGGAGCGCAATAAACATGTGATAAATTGTTCTGATATGGTCCACTTCAAACAGTTCACTGAAATGTAGGTTAAACAGAACAAATTAATAATCATTGTATATTTGATTGTGAAGTATAACATGCTAAAGGATCTGCTTTAAAGCATTTAGAACATGCTAAATCCACCTCCAAAAACATCTAAAAACTAGTAAATACATAATATTACACCCGAAGTATCTAGATCAAACAAATTCAACATCTTTGGAATAAGGATCTTCAAATTTTAATAAAATCATCTAAGCATCAGAAAGTCAATCCTACTTCCTTAGTTAAAATTTTATTTTTTAAGAATATTTTAGGGGCTGGGAAGGTGGCTCAGTGGTAGAGCGCTTGCCTTGCATGCATGAGGCCCTGGGTTTGATTCCTCAGCACCACATAAACAAAAAGAAAAAAAAAGCCAGAAGTGGTGCTGTGGCTCAAGTGGTAGAGCGCCAGCCTTGAGCTGAAGAACTGAGGGACAGCGCCCAGGCCTAGAGTTCAGGCCCCACGACTGGACCGCCCCCCCCAAAAAAAGAATATTTTAATTATTATACAGTACAATATTAAAAATCACAATTACAAGTAGGTGAAAATAATTGTTTTATCTGCACTTTAATATGAAAAGCCTGCATTTCCCCTAGATATAAATGAAAAGACCAGTCTCTGTACACTATAATAGAAAATAAACTTTCTCACTGTATGTTTTGAAAGCTTCAGTTTTCTTATCAAAGTTAATAAACACCAATCAATTTGACTCATAAATTTAGATAAACATAAGGTACATTTATACAACTCCTCAAAGATAACAAAAATACTAAAATTTAAAATGCCTGCCGAGCATGCATGAAGCCCTGGGTTAATTCCTCAGTACCACTCAATTCCACTCTACCATTTGGCATGGAAGCTCACATGGAAAGTGCTACCCTTGAATAAAAAGAAGCTCAGGGACAGTGTCCATCCCCTGAGTTCAATCCCCAGGACTGGCAAACAACAACAAAACCCCAATGTCAGCAAGTTCCATTGTTCTTTTTTTTTGTAAAGCATATGAAGACACTCAATGTAAGTTTTTAGTAACTTAACTATTTCAGAAGATCTGCACAAATGCAGGCTAGATTTCACTAGTGTTCCAATAAATTAAATGAGTAAATAACCTCAAAAGAAATACTCATCTGTTATCCAAAACCCACATGTTATAAAGTCACAACAAGGAATTTACATCATGTAAATTAAAATAAGTGAAGAACTTTGAAAAAACTATTAAGACTCATCACAAAAAAAAAAGGAGAAGAGATGAAAAACTACATATAGGGCTGGGAAGGTGGCTCAGTGGTAAAGCGCTTGCCTTGCATGCCTGAGGCCCTGGGTTCAATTCCTCAGCATCACATAAGCAAAAAGAAAAAAAAAGCCGGCAGTGGTGCGCTGGCTCAAGTGGTAGAGCGCTAGCCTTGAGCTGAAGAACTGAGGGACAGCGCCCAGGCCCAGAGTTCAGGCCCCACGATCGAACCCAAAAGAAAAAAGAAAAACTACATATACTAATAAGCAACTCTAAAAGTTTCCCAAAGTGGTTTGTCTAATTTTAAAACTTCTGTTGTAATTCTTTTAGTAAACAACTCTTCCCAGTGGTAGAATGCCAGTTGGTAGACACTAGCTGTACTTAATAAAGACAAAAAAAGTCTGAGGCCCTCAGCCCCACTATTGGCACCAAAAACAAAACGAAAAACAATTTTCTACAGGAAAGCATGAAGTTTATGAGAAGGCATGAGAGTTCGTATCTCATATACTTAGAAGTGAAACATAGCAAGGTCGCTCTGAACGGGGCCGAGGGTGACCGGTCCGTGGTTCCGGGGTGCTGCTGCGTCCTTGTTACTTTGCCTCCTAACCGGACCCCTCTTCCCCGCAACAACATGACGGGGTACACCCCGGATGAGAAGCTGCGGCTGCAGCAGCTGCGGGAGCTCAGAAGGCAATGGCTGAAGGACCAGGAGCTGAGTCCCCGGGAGCCCGTGCTGCCCCCGCAGAAGGGGTGGCCCATGGAGGAGTTCTGGAAGAACTTCGTGCGGAACGGGTCCCTCTGGAGGAAGCTGGCCTACAGCACATACCATAACGCTGTGTTTGCTGTTACTCGTATACTTATACCTGCTTTGGATTATTCATTATTACATCAAATATCATGTGTCTACAAGGCCATATGCCATTGTTGAAAAGAAGCCCAGAATATTCCCAGGTGATAGAATTCTGGAGACTGGAGAAGTAATTCCTCCAATGAAAGATTTTCCTGATCAGCATCACTGAACATTATGTACAATTTTCAAGGCCTATATAACAGCCCGTTTGTTCTATCTATACTTACTGAATATATTCCTGGAAAAGTAACTAATAAAGTGTGCTCTCAGAAAAATAAAAAAAAAAAAAGAAGTGAAACATAAAGGTGCAATGCCTTTGTGTTCATCTGACCATATAATATCTGATTGTATAAATAATATTTATTATCTGATAATGTAAAATAATATTTATTGAAATGAATTCCAGAAAATGGAAATGAAGTTTGTTCTTCATTGCTGTTTTTCTTTTCATCTTGTGTGTTTATCTGTTTGGGGGAAGGTAAGCAGGGCTACAGAAATGGAGGGACCTATAGGGTGAACAAATGCAGCAGTGGTACTCACCAGACACTAGGTTGAAAACTAAACTATACAATTTATTGGTGGAATGGGAGAGAAAAACTGGGAGAGAGCAAAGGAAGAGGTGTCCAAAAAGAAATGTACAATTACCTGACTTATGTAACTGTAACCCCTCTGTACATCACCTTTACAATAACTTTTTTAAATTGGGGGCTGGGAAGATGGCTCAGTGGTAGAGCGCTTGCCTTGCATGCATGAGGCCCTGGGTTCGATTCCCCAGCACCACATAAGCTAAAAGAAAAAAAAGCCGGAAGTGGCGCTGTGGCTCAAGTGGTAGAGCGCTAGCCTTGAGCTGAAGAGCTGAGGGACAGCGCCCAGGCCCAGAGTTCAGGCCTCACGACTGGACCCAAAAAAAATAAATAAATAACTTTTTTAAATCATTAAGGAATTTTTTAAAAGGATACTGAACAAATAACTTATATAGAAAAAAAATGCATTATCTAATTCTCTTCCTTTGAAGCTAGATAGCTAACCAGAAATTTAACAACTAGGAACAGGAGACCACATATATACTAAAGTAGTATCAAGCTGGGTACTGGGGTTCATTCATACTTGTAAGAGGTTAAGACCAGTAGGACTACAAAAAGTTTGAATGACTTCATATCAACAGAAAAAGCTAGGTATGGTAGTCCTGCTACAGTGGGACTCAAGTTAAGAGAACTGCAGTCCAGGGTGGCCTGGGCAAAAGGAAAAAGCTCAAAAATAACGGGCCAAAAGGGCCCAAATGATGAAGTACTTGCTAGTGAGCACAAACTTGAGTTCAAATCCTAATACTGTCAAAGAAAAAGAAATGTAAAAACTAATGATTTATATGACTATAAGATAAACTCACTACACATCAGACCAAGCAATGATGCTATCAATGAGGACAGCTTTTTTCTTTTAAAACAAATAGAAAAAAGAAAAACTAATGAGCAAAAACAAATAATACTTACTCTAAGAGAGATCGTCTTGCAATGAAAATCTTTCCTTGTTCTGGAGGTGCTCTCAGATCCCTAAGTAGGAAAGAATTACAAAATACAGGTAGTCCAAATATTGTAAGAAACTTAATACTAACAGTAAGAGAAAGAATATAGCCAACCATAACATCAAGTCTTACCAACCTATGCCCTAAGATCAGGAAGGACAGGAGGGATTTTACACATGCTATCGTGGCACTTCTAAACAGTGCTGAGACAGGGACATGTATTTAGGATGGAAGAGCTGTTCCATTACCTGATTAGAGAAGTGCTCCAGAGACCACTCCCCCCATACTTGGGGACAGTATTCTCTGCATGTCTCGTTAACAGCTTGTCCTAATTCTGCAGAGCCCCAGAAGTCATGGACAGGCCTCAGGTCACAAAAAGTTACTGGTTTTTCCTCCAAAACACTCTTTTGTTTAATATGTACCTCCCAATGTCTGAGGATTTATTTTACAATTCCCAACAGCCTCTTGATCTTATTAGTTGTCTCCAGGAACTAAGAATTCACATTTTAACACAGAGTATATCATCTTCTTTAGAGCTCTTTGTAGTACTGCAGTACTGCTGTTAACTATCACTGTTCAAAATTCTTCTCCAGAGGAGACTAGCAGGAGATCACAAGGCGTAAAACTGAGAGCAGCCCAGAATATAAACATTAGTCTTCAATAGCCTCTCTCTTTTATTCTGAATGACCAACTAGAAAAATATACACTAACTGCACCATACTTAATTGGAAGTTCATACTGTATAGAGTACAATCACAGTACAGAATGATGTGGTTAAGAGCAAGAACTCCAGAGCCAAATTCTGGGTTCAAAGCTCTGTGTACACAGAGACATTTAAGTGCACTGTGAACTACTCTGTATTGTGTATATGGCTATAGTCTCTACTTTATAGTGAAAGACACTGCTTAGTTTAAATAAGTTATGCCATGCAGAATACTCAGTAAGCATTAGCTCTATTTTGTTAGTAGTTTTAAGAAGTGTGCATTTATCTTATCTTATAATCCATGGGCCAAATGCCCATGGCTCATGCCTGTAACCCTAACTATTCAGGAGGCTGAGATCTAAGGATTGTGGTTTGAAGCCAGCAAGGTAGAAAATTCCATAAGCCTCTCATCTCCAATTAAACACTAAAAGCTGGAAGTGGAAATATGGCTTAAGTGGTAGAGCATTAGCCTTGAGTGAAAAAGCTAAGGGACAATGCCTGGGCTCTAAGTTTAAGTCCCAGTACCAGAGAAAGAAAGAAAGAAAGAAAAAGAGAGAGAGAGAGAAAGAAAGAAAGAGAGAGAGAGAGAGAAAGAAAGAAAGAAAGAGGAGGGAGGGAGGGAGAGAGAAAGAAAGAAAGAAAGAGAGAGAGAAAGAAAGAAAGGAACAAAGAAAGAAGGAAGAAAGAAAGGAAAAGAAAAGAAAAGAAAGGGGGGAAAAGGAAGGCAGGGAGGAAAAGAGGGAGAGAAGGAAAGAAGAGAGAAAGGGAAAGGGAGGGAAGGGAGGGAGGAAGGAAGAAATGGAGGGAAGGAAAGGAAGGAAGGAAGGAAGAAAGGAAGGAAGGAAGGGAGGGAGGGAGGGAGGGAAGGAGGGAGGGAGGGACTCACCCTTAAAGGCATACAACAGCTAGCCTATAACAAAATGGCAAGAGTCTGCACTGGAGCATTTTTGCTGCAGTGCACTCCACTAGATTGCAGTAGACATTTATATTCAAAGAAAACACAACATACTCACTTAGCCCGATGGTTGTTTTTCATTTCATCAAGGATGGAAAAAGTGGTGAGGGCACACCCACCATTGTCTAATGATGCAGATTTTTCAATGAGGTTGGTCACAAAATCATCAAAGTGACTGCCAACTTCTTTCAAAAAGAGTGGCTTCAATTCCTAGAGTTTCAAATCAAATCAAGAAAAATGTGAGTAAGAAGCACATGCTGTGAATCACTGACATTTCCCACAGGTCTCTTTAGGGTGCTGGTGTAAATTCAAGTAAGTGAATTCACCAGTGGAAAGCAGAAAAATAATTTCTACAGCTGACGTGCGGTTCCAGAAAAGACTACTGAAGAAATAAAGCAGTGATTTATATCCTTTGAGAACAGTAGCCATAAAAAATAACTTCTAAGCATAAATTAAGATACCAAAGTAATCATTTAATAACTGAATTCCTGCAAATGGTACAAAGATCTAATGTGGAACAATAAATGAGACTATTCTGTATATATTCTTTAGAAAACATTTTAACATATTATATAATACCATATATTCACCATAATTTGAAGACTTTCTCTAAAGTAATCTTTTTACCCCAAATAACCACCATTCACATTTTCTAGCATGTCAGTCTATATCATACCTCCATTTACATAATGTTTTTTCCCACTCCATTACTTTGTACTTACCTAACCATAAAAATGCAGGTGCATGTTTGACACATATGCACACACACTTTCATCAACGTGTTATAAATATGTGTCTAAAATCCATCCTAGGAAAATGATGTATATATATGTATGTATATGTTAGAACTATTGTTATACTTCTAGTTTCTAATTATCTTAAAAGAATCTGTTACAAAGTATGAAGCAAAAGGCCTCTTTTCTCATGTTAAAATAAGCTATGATCTGTGGATATCCCAATTATAAATGTGAGCATTAAGTGTTATTCATTCTGTCTTCAAAGAAAAAAAAATTTTTTTCTCCTTTGACTTAATTATTTAAGCTACACGTCAAACACATGAAGTAGCATTGTTCTAGATTCTGTTCTATCAAAAGACTGGCCATGAAAAAAAAAACCCAAAGCCTAAAAATACTTGCAATGTATTCTGTGAAACTTTTCACATGGTATGTGCCCTACAGCGCCCCGTGTACCATGGTTCTAGCTCTCACAGGACATATGATGTCGCCTGAACAGGATAACCATTGACAGCTAGAAAAAACGTGCAGGAGCTCAGCAATCCTGCAAGAATAAATGGCTAGAGGTCTTTGTGAGCTGAAACCTTGAAGAGCATGACACACTTAAGATTCAATCAGCTGAAAAGTAAAAGAAGGCTGAGGAAGGGCAGCTGAAGCCACAACACCGAAAGAAGGCCAAGGAAGAGGCAAACGGGGATATAATAGAGAGCACTATTTCCATGGAGGGAGGAATCGTTTGTAGAAAACTCACATTGAAGTTATCTAGTAAAATTAAGTTCCTCTGTTCCATTTTCAATTACATGTCCATCCTTGTTTTGAAATAAAAAGGGATCAAATACTCCATGCCAAATAAACCACAGTGACAAAAAAAAAAGTGGTTCTTTTTTGGTCTCATTTAATCTCTAGAGCTAGCTCTATGAACAGCGTTCACGGAGACATAGACTAAAAGTGCTATGGAAAGAAATAAAGCAGAAAGAAAGGTGTTGTTTTTCAAACCTGACAGTGGAAGAAATTAAGAGGGTATGTCAGTGGCTAAGTTACCACTGTGGGAAGAGTTCCAGAAGGAAGCTGGAATGTTAAAGAGTACCTGAGGCAGCGAGCGGGGCTAAGTAAAGGATTCATCAGTTTACCTGGGCTCCTACCTCAACCCCTTCCAAGTTTAATCAACGTTAGAGAAGCCTGGAATCTTGAGATGTAGCAATTATATTCAAGCCACTTCTTTTAACCAGCATCCCCATACTCTGGCACCAGTCTCCTTCCTAATTAACTGGGTAAGCACACTAGAAGCATGAAGAAAATGAAATGGGTGTTATTTAAATGTCAAAAAAGGCTGCTGAAGAAGTTCTATTGCCCATAGGCGAATGTACAGCTTTTGTTCTAGGTAGACAATGAGAAAAAACATTAAATGAATTATTAATGGTGCCATAAAGGCAGCAAAGAAAGGAAAAGTTCCGAGTGACAGGAAGACAGAGACAGAAAGTAAGGAGAGGAAGTCACAACAATGTGTGGGCCAGTAGAAGAAGGTAGGTTTGGGGTGTCATTGTCCATTTCTTTTACACCCTCCTTCCCTCAGCTCTCTGATACCCCAACCTCCGATACCCTACACAGTGCAGACTCTGCTTGCATACGTTGAGCTTGTCAGAGGATTAATTACATCTTTTTTCTGTTTCTCCTTGAACTAAAATTTGTATTTAAATGTCACCATTTAAATCTACCACATTCTTCTAAAGAGCTTTGTAATTTCCCTTCTTTCTTGAGGAATTAAAGACAGAAGTTGCTGCAAATGAAAGAACAGGAAAAACTCTGTTATAGTGGAGACCAGTAAACTACTTTACGCTCCATTGAAAGATCTCAGCGCCAGTCTAGTATATGAGTTTATCTGATTTGGGGAAGGGAAGAGAAATCACAGAAACAGTGGGACAATGGGCGAACCAATACAACAGTGATACTCACTAGACACTATGTTGAAAATGAATGTTACAATGGTGGGGAGGGGCATAAGGGGGAGGGAAAACAGGAGAAAACGGGGAAGGGGGTAACACTATTCGAAAAGACATGTACTCATTCCCTTATCTATGTAACTGTAACCCTTCTGTATATCACCTTTACAATTAAAAAATCTGCCGGGCGCCAGTGGCTCACGCCTGTAATCCTAGCTACTCAGGAGGCTGAGATCTGAGGATCCTGGTTCAAAGCCAACCCGGGTGGAGAGTCTGTGAGACTCTTTATCTCCAATAAGCCACTAGAAAACCAGAAGTGGCGCTGTGGCTCAAGCAATAGAGCACTCGCCTTGAACTGAAGAGTGCAGGGACAGCACCCAAGCCCAGAGTTAAAGCCCCACGACCAAAAAAAAAAAAATCTATCATTCAGTTGGACACCAGTAGCTGGCTCAAGCCTGTAATCCTAGCCATTCAGAAGGCTGAGATCTGAGAATTATGGTTTGAAGTCAGCACAGGCAGGAAAGCCCATGAGACTCTTATCTCCAACTGACCACCAAAAAGCTAGAAGTAGAACTGTGGCTCAAGTGGTAGAGTACCAGCCTTAAGCAAAGAAGTGCCCAGGCCTGAGTTCAAGCCCCATTACCAGTACAAAAACAAAACAAAAAAATACTGTCATGTACTTTGTACAGGAAAAATAGAAAAATATAGAAAAGGAAGTGGTCTGTTTTTGCCTTCCTCCAGATTTTTCTATCACATGAAACTACCCAAGGTAGAATCACAAAATATGATCACAAGAAATGTAATGTCCAAGCCGGGCGCCGGTGGCTCATGCCTGTAATCCTAGCTACTCAGGAGGCTGAGATCTGAGGATCACAGTTCAAAGCCAGCCTGGGCAGGAAAGTCTGTGAGACTCTTATCTCCAATAAACCACTAGAAAATCAGAAGTGGCGCTGTGGTTCAAGCGGTAAAGCACTCGCCTTGAGCTGAAGAGCACAGGGACAGCGTCCAAGCCCAGAGTTCAATCCCCACAACCGACAAAAAAAAAAAAAAGTAATGTCCAATGTAAGTGACCTGAAAATGATGTTGAGCCTGTAGGCTTTCTGATTGGCTTATCCTCTCAACTACATATATATTTATACTAATTTCATCCACTCAGTGGACCATGCTGGACAGATAGATGGAGGATATGATGGAAAAAATGAGGAGGTAAGCTAACTAGAAACCAGAAAAAAAGGTGTTTAGATAATTTGATAAACAGAAGCACTGTATTTTAGCACTCAAAAGAACCTCTTATTTAAAATAAGCAGCTGGTGAATTATTCAGGGACAGCTCCCAGGCCTAGAGCTCAAGCCCCACAACTGACAAAAAAAAAAAAAAGAGAGAGAGAGAGAAAGAGAGATCTTTCATGCAATTGTTTCTAACATATTTTTAAGATTATGTCTTTGTTGCCTTGTATGTCCCTCCCCCATGGTATAACCCCTGCTTTCACTATATATGATGTTGGTATATGTGGAGGGGAAGGGAAAAAACAAATTGTTAAAACAGGAATATAGGAGGACCCATTGCAACAATGAGAAGTATAAGTCGTTATGTTGAAAAACGAACTTTACAACTTTGGGGGGAGGGGGGAAGAGACGGGGGGGAGGGATATGAAGGGATGGGAAGGGGAAACAAAGCAGGAGGCTACAATGCTTGATAAGAAATGCACTCATTATCTTACCCATGTAATTGTAACCCCTCTGTACGGTATTTTTACAATAAAAATATATATAAAAAATAAAATAAGCAGCTAGGCTGATGGTGGCTCATCCACAGGAGACAGAAATCTGAAAGACAGGTTCAAGACCAGCCTGAGGAAAATGTTCTGAAGACCTCATCTCAACCAATAAAAAGTTGGGTCTGATGCTCATACCTATCATCTCAACTTCATAGGAAGCATCAATGGGAGGCACATAGTACAGGCCTTTCTGGACATAAACATGAGATTCTATCCACAAAATAATAAAAAGGTAGAAAGGACAGGTGTTAGGTTTTTTAAAAGAGGTAGCCGAGTAACAACAGCACCATGCATGTGGTATTCAGGTAAGGGGTAGGTTTAGACTTGCTGGGACCAGGCAAGGATGGCAGTCTTCACTGCTGGCAAAAGAGAGTGTCTGACCCTGGGTTAGGCCTTATAAAGGGTAGGGGCGGGGAAAGGTGTGTCCAGGTAAAGGGAAGTGGGACCAGGTGGAAGAAAGGTGTGCCCACGGGGCTGGGAAGGTGGCTCAGTGGTAGAGTGCTTGCCTTGCATGCATGAGGCCCTGGGTTCGATTCCTCAGCACCACATAGCAGAAAAAGCTGGAAGTGGTGCTGTGGCTCAAGTGGTAAAGCACTAGCCTTGAGCTGAAGAGCTAAGGGACAGTGCCCAGGCCCAGAGTTCAGGCACCATGACTGGCAAAACAAAAACAAAAAAGAGAAAGGTGTGGCCACATCAGATTAAAATGTGACCTCAGCGGATGCAGATGTGACCTCTTCCAGGTGTCCCAGTTGCCTAGGT